TTGAGAAGAATGTACTCAGACTTCTAGGTAGTTTATATTGAGTGATTTCCTGCCACAGGCGCTCCTTGAACCCTGCTTTGTTGCATGGCAAGTAATGTGCTTAGGTCTGATTGCTTTTTAGGCTTAAGTGCAAAAGGGCAAAGGGCTAGCTGGTTTGTGTAAAAATCTGTCTAATACAGTCACAAAGTCAGGCTTGACTGTGCGACTGAACAACAACTACAGTAAGATGTTACCAGCAGGCATTCATACCTACAGCATTCCTTTTTAAATGGGGCATTGTAGTTTTATGCACATCTTCTGTTGGGTTAACCTATCGGAGTCAGTTTGGTGTATTGGTTAAGAGCAGCAGACTCTTAATCTGGAGAACCAGGTTTGATCCCCTGCTTCTCCACATCCAGCCATTTCTCTCAGAGCTCTCAGCCCCACATACTTCACAGGAGAGAGGAATAGAAGGAGACTGTAAGCTGCTCTAAGACTCCATGTGAAGGGTGGGGTATAAATCCAACTTCTCTTCTTCAGTGGAGTGCATCCCTAAGTGGGTTGCTCCTTTCAGAGGGGAGGGACAGTAAATCATTGTTAGAGCTCATTCCTTCTTGCATTCCCACTTGATCCAGCCTACTCTAAAGCATCAAGAGGTCTTCCAGGAACTCTGCTCTAGCTTTTTGCTTTAAATTGAACTTTAAAGACACATTTTTTTTCCTGGGAGCAGCAAAGTTACAGTTAAACGTCTTACCATCTACCCATCTGAAAATTCTGTCTTCATCTGAATTAGTGAATTGCCTACACAGCCTTGCCTTTTTTTAGTTTAGAGTAACATGACATAGATATTGCTGCTGGCAAGTCTAATCTCAGGCAGTGTATCATGACAATTTACAGTTGCATGTTTTCCCCCTCCCCTGTAGTTACTACGCAAGCCAAAAGAAGACATTTGAAGTCAACCCTAGGCATCCTGTTATAAAAGACATGCTCAGACGAGTTCAGGTAAGCAAAGTTCAGTACATTAACAGAGCTGTGTGGGCTTGTGAAGTGCTCCAGTTCTATTCAGCATAGCTTGTACACTTTAAATCATATGAGATGGAATTTGGTATGACACTCCAAACTCAATACTTGAATCTGTGTCCATTGGGAGCTCTAGCTAAATTAACTTTTCTTTTAATATCAGGAAAATGAAGATGATCAAACTGTTGCAGATCTTGCTGTGGTTTTATTTGAGACTGCTACTCTAAGATCAGGGTATTTGCTACCAGATACAAAGGAATATGGAGAAAGGATAGAAAGAATGCTTCGTCTGAGTTTGAACATTGACCCAGAAGAAAAGGTCGGTGAAATTGTTGAGCAACTATGTATCATACAGCTTCTCTTACTTCTGGTTGCATTCATAGCTTGAATAGGTCAAGGTCACTGTTTATGTATCTTGAGAAAGACCATCAAGAGCAACAGTCAAAACCATCTAGGTCTTACTTGTCTAAGGCATTTGAAACAAAGGGTTATTTTTCTGAACAAGAAATAATATTCAACCCTACTAGGATTTGTCCTATACTTTTCTCTTTTTCTAAGAACTATCTGCTTGTTGTATTCCTGTAGTGACAGACAACCCTGTCAGAATAGCTCAGTAAATTCTATCTCAGGGATGTTGACCGGAGTTGGAAAAATTAGTCCATCCTAATGTGTAGGAATTCAGAAATCCCACCCAGTTCTAGATAAAGCTAATGCTTCCTCCCCCAAATGTAGGCTACTGTTCAATAATTCAACATGATTCCAATGTTGCTAGCTCAAATTTTCCAACTGCTGATCCTGTACTGACGGCAGCACTTCAGTGTTAGATTACAACATTGCATCTCATCCTGATGAAAAATTGTCATTTTGTACTCTTGGATTGTCATACTGAAATGGCTGCAGCATTGCGCTGTTCCACTTTAAAGCCTCAGACTCAAATGGCATGAAAGCTTTGTTACCTAAATAATAATTATTTCTAAAAGGTGGAAGAGGAGGCTGAAGAACCAGAAGAGACTGCTGAAGAGGTAGAAGAACAAGATGAGGAGGAAGTAGAACCTGAAGACAGTGAAGATAGTGAAACAGTTAAAGTTAGTATGCTTACATGGCTTCTCACCACCATTGTAGAAAAAGCGGTTGCTGGAGCCTTCTTTTGCCTTACAGTCAAACAGTTGATAACTAGAAAGTACTAATGCCATAGGAAGTACTATGCCATGAAAAATAGGATTATGAAGTCACACTTGGTGTAAAGTGTCTGTTATTTTAACCTAGACGCCCACTTCTAAACATACTAGTTTTCAAGACCTGCTTGTAGAGTAACTCTAATTTCCACATCTCAACACCAAACCAGTTCATAATTTATTTTTCATGTATTTATGTGTTTACAAATTAATACTATCACTGAGAAGCATTTGTATTTCATACACCATTGTTGAGGCAAATCAGATTTGCCATAGCTTCCCAGAGCTGCGTCTTTACACTGATGACTTTCTTTTGGTTCCCAGCCTAGTTTTAAAGCCAGTTTAAAGGTGTAGTAATGCTGTTACAGCACCAAGGGCTGGATTCTGCACTGGTTGATCAAAATACAGTGGTTGATCCAATTAAAGCCAAAGTACTGACTTTTAAAGCATGAGCCAAGATTGAATATTGATGTATTTCTTAGGGACACTTCATTCTTTTAGCAACATTAGTTCTGAAGTTCTGATACAGAGGAAAAATTTTAGTATGGTTGTGTGTTTGGGGTTCTCTTTACAACCAACAAAGTTTTATTTGAGGTATAAGTACTGGAAATGGTGGTGGAGGTATGAAAATGTGGCAGGCAATTACCAATTCCCCTGTATACTGTACTACCGTTTTAGAACAGCGAACTTAATTTTTTTTTCTCCCTTTGCAGGAGCCTACAGATGTAAAAGATGAACTGTAACATGCACTCGCAACTAGTATCCTGTGACTGGGATGAAGCAGGAATGTGAACTAAAGTTGTTTTTTTTCACTGTAAAATGTTTGGGGGGGTATGCTGTTATGGGCAGAAGGGATTTTTTTAAGTTGCATTTTTTAAACATTCCTCACAATGTAAATTTGTACTATTTAACTGACTACTTGGTGTAAAATCTTGTCATGTGTACAAAATTAAAATGTTCACACCATTGGTGGTGGATATTGAAGTATTTCTTACCTCTGTAAGCAAAATCTAAATATGCTTATGTTGAGAAGGCCACTTACAACAATGTGGAACAGTAGAACAGGAACATTATTGGGCCAGGGACAGCCAGGAGCTGTTTTGCAAAGACTGTTAAAAAGTATGATGACTGAGCCTAGGGCTCCCAAAACTCACCAAATCACGACAGGGGATCGCATGTCTTTGCAGAATCCCTGCTGCGGGGACGGCAAAACACATTGCTCCACCGTCGCCAGGACATGACGCTACGCATTGCTCTGGCAATGGGGCTGTTTGGAGCCCCGTTGCCAGAGTGACGCGTAGCGTCATGTCCTGGCGACGGCGGCTGCAATGCGTCTCGCCAGCCCCGCAACAGGGATTCTGCAAAGACATGCGATCCCCTGTCGTGATTTGGCAACCCTAACTCGGTCTCTGGTGATAGAATGCTTAATGAGCTAGAGCCTTACAGTTGAAAGCATAATTTGCCTTCTTGTGAGAGCTAGTTCATATGTTGCAAGACTGGATTGTATTCAGGGAACCCATGAGTGTAAGGAAAATAGTTGCAGCCAGAGTAGAGTTTTCATACAAAAGGGTGTACTTCTTGGCCCAGATCTCATTCCAGTCACATTTTCCCCAAGCACTTGTCAAAAGTAGCAAAATACCACCATGGGGCCTTGCTAGCTGCATGAAAAGAAACGGCATGTGATTATATAAGTTCCTGAACAGCTATATATATATATTTCCAGTTGTGCAGCCAGTTGGATCCATCATTGTTGCAGAGAGATGCATAAACTTACTGTATGAGAAAGCCTGGGCTGAGATTAACAGAGGCCAGCTGCTGCTATAGTGTTATAGGCAGGGGGACCCACGTGAAACTTGCAGAAAGAGGCATCCCATTTCCCAGCTCTTACTAGGTTTTAAGATTTTCTGCAAAAAAGTAGGTCGCTGAAGGCGAGGCTGACACAAAGAGGAGTGCAGTTATTGCATCTGATGTAATTGATACAAGGTAGCATTATCGCAGATATAGGCTTTAATGGCTGGATTTCTAATCTTGGTGAAAATCTTCATGTTTAAGGCCACTATGAACATGTGTATATGTTAATATGGAATTTCCTTTGTTATTTCCAGAGGCCTCCAACCCCTGTCTCCCCAGCACTGAAATTTCTTCTAACCTTCCAAACCACTCTAGGGAGTGCTGTGGCTTATAATGACTCAGCACTTCACAGTTGCTTATTCAAAGTTACATTCATATGCCCACACCATTATGAAATTGGCTAGGAGTTAAAGTCCATGCTGGGTTCCAGCTCCTAGCTGGCCTTTTTGTTCTGAGAACATATATGGCTGACACCATTTTGAAATGGCCTAAGCAAAAAGTTTCCTGCTTGTTACCATATCCATTTCCTCTGATTTAAAAAAAATTAAATTCTGTACTTAGAACCTTTTATGATACTCTGCCTAACTGAATCTCATTTTTGTCCATGCTAATATGAAACCGGGCTTCTTTGGCTTTTTAAAATATAACTTCATCCCCATTGACCTAGTGAACCAGTGTGGCTGTAGTGGTTAAGACCAGCAGACGCTTAATCTGGAGAACTGGGTTTGATTTCCCACATGAAGCCAGCTGGGTGACTTTGGGCCAGCCACAGTTCTCTCAGAACTCTCAGCCCAACCTACCTCACAGGATGTCTGTTGTAAGGACAGGAAAGGAAGGTGATTATAAGCTGCTCTGAGACTCCTTCGGGTACTGAAGAGCAACCAACTCTTCTTCCTCTACTGTGGTAAAGCACTTCTACTAAATTTTCTATACATTTTAGACCCTTAGAGATGGATTGAGGGTTATATGGCAGGAGCTTAGCCAAGAAGAAACAACCCACTGAGAAGAATGCTGAATTGCCCTTTTTGCAGACTAGTTTTATCTTTTTTTAAGGTGAAAAAACCCCACGGTACCCACATAGTCACCCACCCAAACTCAAGCATTGAAAGGCTGGACTGGGTTAGCAGCATTTGTGGCACGTTACAGCAATATTCCACAGGAAGCCCCCACAATGCAATCCAGCAAAGGGCACTTTTAAGGAGAGTAAAGAAAACCAGCCACACAATTTCCAAGAGCACTGTTGAAGTTATACACAGAGTGCGTCAGGAACAGATTATTTTGTGCTGAAAAGGTGACTGATGTCGCAATTTGGCCTTCATGGAAAACTGGCACCCAATATAGAATAAGTGTACTTGAATATGTTACCAGTTAAAATTTCAATCATAAATAATATCAGAGCAGTTAGTGGAGGGATGACATGGTCACTGTTGTGAGGGCTGAACTTTGTCATTTCTTTTTTTAAGACCTAAGAGTTCTGTTCTGAGTTCTCCAGGTTTCGGAGGAATTTCAGGTATTGTCTATAAAAAAAACAAAACAAAACAGTTATATTGACATCTATTTCCACCAACTAAAGCATCTGAAGGGAAACTAGCCACTTCTGCCAGCTTTGCACCCCTTGGCATTCCCAGCAGTATTTTTGAAAAGTTTACCTTTAATCAATAGTGGCACACAAGGCGAGGCATGAATGCTCAAAATAAATGATAAAGATGCAGCTCTATGCACAATTACGTAAAAGAGAAACCATGCCAAAAGACACATTCTCTATGTCCTCTTAAAGCATGATGTGATTAAAAGCCAAAACAAGTTTCAGTACAAATATGACAATGACTTGGAGCCTGATTTTCTTTCCCTCTTGCAGCAGCCCCAACTGCCTTCCCCCATCCTGCCCGGGGGGGGGGGGGGGTGGGGATTTGGGGTTACCATGGTAGGGGGGAATAAAAACATTGCGCTATGAGAGCAGACATCCTTGCGCCAGCAGAAATGCTGTTCAGGATCCAAGTCTATGGTATCACTATAGTCCCATGTTTGGTGTAGTGGTTAAGTGCGCGGACTCTAATCTGGGAGAACCGGGTTTGATTCCCCACTCCTCCACTTGCACCTGGCTGGATGACCTTGGGCAAGCCGTAGCTCTGGCACAGCTGTTCTTGAAAAAGAGCAGTTTCTGTCAAGAGCTCTCTCAGCCCCACCTACCTCACAGGGTGTCTGTTGTGGGGAGGGGAAGGGAAAGGAGTTTGTAAGCTGCTCTGAGACACCTTTGGGTAGTGAAGGGCGGGATATAAATCCAATCTCTTCTCTTCTTCTTCTTATTTTGAACACACAAAGCTGTATCATACTAGTCCCCTAAACACAGCCTCTCCATGCGTTGACTGAATATGCAAGGAAGGAGAATTCAAAATAAAAGTAGAATAACAATTTTTAAAAACCAAATTAAAGGTCCCAGATGGCGTCCTTAAAAATTTCATCCCGATTCTGGATTGCCTGGCCAGTTTCTGGGCGGGGGAGAGGGAGCACAAGATCAGAATTAACAGAAGGGAGAGGAAGAGGGTGCCAGCCACAACAGAACACCATTGCTGTCCTCAAACAAAAGCCTGGTGGAACATCTCTGCCTCGCAGACCCTGCAGCATTTCATAAGATCCCACAGGGCCCTGGTGGTATTAGGCAGAGAGTTCCACCAGGTTGGGGCCAGGACTGAAAAAAAAGTACCTGGCCCTGGTCAAGGACAACCAGACATCTTTGGGGCCAGGGATCATCAGCAGATTGCTACTGGCAGAGCATAAAGCTCTCCTGGGGGCATACCAGAGGAGATGGTCCCTCAGACCACTCAAGGCCTTGAAGGTCAACACCAAAACCTTGAACTTGACTCGGTATTCCACTGAGGGAATAGCTGGGGACATTGCTTTTAACACTTCTGATCGTAGAGGAGGAGTGTATGTGCAGACACATCCTCCATGATTAGGTGCTGTGCCCACAAGCTGGCAATTACATAGACACAGGGTTAGCCCACCTCCACTCCTTCTCTATATACATTTAGTCATGATCCACGGGGTGGTGCATCCAGGATTACTGAGTCAGACCACTGGCCTACCAGATATTGTTTACTCTGACTGGCAGCTGCTCTCTCAGATTCTCAGATCTAAGTTTTTCATGTCACCTACTCCCTTTTTAAAAAGTCGCAATGACTAGCTTCTAAACCAAGTAAACATATATCTTAAAAAGAGAAAACATACTTACAAGATCAGGCCTGTAATATCTATGGACAACTTCTGCTCCAGCAAACATAGACAACAAACTTGCGCTAAGCATTTTCAGGTAGCGAGGCCAAGACACTCCTGCAGGCATGGCAAAGAGAAGCCTGCAACTGGAATTCAAGTAAAAAAGGAAGAAAAAAGAAAACAATTGAGAAATTATTTTCTGTCCATCTGACCACCTAGGTCCTAGGGGAAACAAAGCCCTAGGACAGTCTGGAGGAAAATGCAGTGGAAACCCAGCAGCTCCACAAATGTGCTCCAACACAAAGACATGGAATAGTGGGTAAACATAACATTCTGACAAGCACACATATTGTTTGCACAGCGCATTAGCTGTTGAAGATTTAGTCTGCATTTGTTGTCACGTTTTAAAGACAGGCTAGACGGTTTTCCTTAAAAGTCACTCCAAAACAGATGGTAAAGGAGCAGGACTAGGAATTGTAGAACCAAGGAAATTAAGATTTATGATCCTATTTGTTTGGAACTGGAAATGAATGAGACTACACACCGAGTGCCCTAACCTGCACGCCTCAGAACAGCCCAATAGAGTTCGAAAGCTAAGCAGCAGCGACCCAGTGCTTAGTATTTGGATGATAGTCCAGGACTGCTAGGCAGAGGCGGGCAATGGCAAACCACTTCTGATCGTCTCTTGCCTTGAAAACCCCGCAACGTGACGGCACTTCCCACCACCACTTTTCGACGTCCTACCTGCTCATAAGTTATTAATCACACCCGCTGTAGACAAGGGAAGGGCGTCCGCAGTCTGTAAGTGAAGACGCACTTTTGTGCCTAAACAAGAGCTCAAAAAACGGCAGGCTAGGCACCTCTTGCCTAACAGCCACTGCAACACGCAACCGTCGGGTACCGGACGTCCTTCTGCAACTCCAAAAGGGAAACTAACTTCTTTCTCCTAGAACCACAGAGAAATTCTTTGCATCCTCCTGCAAGAATAGTCGCCAATAACAACCTACGATGCCCACTTGCCTGCATCAGCTCCCAGCGATATATCCTCAAAGCCGGTTGTGGGCAACAGAAAGAGATCCACCCCAATGATTCCCAAAAGAGGTCCTCTAGGCAGCTAACGGCCAACCGTGCCCAGTCAAGGGACCCGGCAGTCACGTCGCGCCGGCAGTCACGTGGCAGCGGTATGACGTATTTTTCCGACGCCAGGCCTGCAGAAAGCCATTCTCCACACGGCGCTAAAGGTTCCCTAGCTGCCAAAGCATGTGTCAGCTTGTCTGTATATGTTGCAAACACGAGTGTTAACACACGGTGAGAATATGAGTCTTGACCAAGGCTGCGTATTCTGTGGATCCCACTGTACGGGAGGGAGGGAGGCGCCACTCTGCGTCTCGCCTGTTCACAGTTTCCCAAGCTTGACGAGCACTCGACTCTGATTGGGCGCCTTTGCCCACGTGCCCCTGGTGCGGCTGCCAGCCTGAGCGGGCCGCGGAGCGCTGTGAATGAGAGCGAGGCAGAAGGTATGGGGGAGGGGGGAAGAGAGGAGGCGAGGGGGGTGAGGGGGGAGGCGAGGGAGGGGAGCCGGGGCCTGGGGTGGGCGGGGCCACAGCGCGGAGTCCGTTAGGGCCTCCCGGACTTGGTGTGAGGAGAGAGAGAGAGACACACACACACACCGGCGTTCGGGAATGGAAGCCGACGGCCCCGGAAGGTATGTCTCTGGGTAGGGGGGAGGGAAGCAGGCCCTGGGAGGGGGCCGCTCAGGCGCCCTTCTGGCAGGGGGATCGGCGGCCGCCGCCTCACACAAAAGAGCTTCCAGGCGGCCCCAGCGCAGGGCCGAGGCCTGAGTCGGCTGGGTGGTTGGTGTTGAGAGGCCCGGGTGGCTGTGAGCGCCTCCGCACGACACGAGCCGGGGATGGGTTAGGGTCTGGATGCGAATCGTAGCAAGCGCTGTTAGGCAGTGGGCCCGCTTGTTCTACCGCTTCTCTTATGTGTGTCCGGTTGTAGATGCATGAAGAGCATAAGCAAGCAAAACGTCCATTTTGCTCCGTGAGCAATACAGTCCTACGAGCACTTTCCTGGGAGTAGGTTCCATTGAGTAGGATATCTTATGGGAATTTGCTTAGGATGGCACTGTTAAGAGTTATGGGAACATAATTACACCCGTCATTAAGTTGGCATGGTGATTGTTATATATACAGAATAGTGATGCACATAGGTTTATCAACGGGTCTTTTAGGGAAAGGTAGATGATAAATGCCTTAAATATAAAGGGCATTAAAATCTTGTTAGACTGAATATATCCTTACTTAGGCGTATATTCTGCTTGTTCCATATGCAGTTGTTTATTCCTTTATGCTTTATATGGCTATCGTTAACCTGACTTATGTTGTATTATACGTGTAAAATTAATAAAAATTTAATTGAAAAAAAATATATATATAAAGGGCATTTGTATCCCACCTTTTCTTCAAGGAACTTGGGGTTGTGTACACTCTTCTCCCCTGCTCCATTTTATCCTTGTAACCACCCTGTGAGGTAGGTTAGGCTCAGAGATGGAGTGTGTGTGTGTGGTTGGCTGAAGATTACCCAGGCTGTATCCACACAGTAATGATTTTGTTCCTTCTGTTACAAATGCAGAGGCATCAGCAGTGGCACAGAGCATCTTCACATTTTCCTTGCCCTGGTTCTCCCACAGCCATCATTCCCCCAACCATGTCACTGGAGGACTTCTTTTTAAAAAAAAAAATCAGTAACTGACATTGCAACATGTCAGTTTCTAATTTTAAGCTATAATTAGATATCAATAGCCTTAAAAAAATAAGTCTGAGAAAGCTCTTTGGAGAGCGGGTGGAATGGTGGCCATGGGCGACTGAGGCAAGGAAAATGGTGTTGATGTGAGCAAGATCTGCAAAAATGTATGCCTTCCTGCCCATGCAGCCGCAGCATGAAAAAACACACTTTGGAACCTTTCTCAAAATATCTGACCAAACCAGTTTCGGGAAAGATTGCAGCAAAGTGGGGTAAATACAGAAAGTGGCTAGTTAAGAGATGTTATTGTGTGGGTGCTCCAAAACCCTCTCTAGTTTAGACACAAAACTGGAGCAAAATCTTGATGTGGACGCAGCTCTAGTGAGTTGGGAATTTAAACATGGTTCTCTCAGATCCTCATCTGACCAGTATAACACAAAAAGGCTTTCAGACTGGTTTTAAGTGTTAGATTACATCTTGTTAATAAAATCTCAAAGCCTGAGTCTCACAATCTGTGAGATGGTTTCTGGACTGCTTCAGTTGGCAGGTATGGACCCATGTAATTAAACATGCCCTGCACTTTGGAAACTGACATATCAAAGCTAAAGATGAACTAGAATCCTCAATTATTCACTTGTTGATGAAATGGGAATTCTAACCTGTCTGTGAGACTAGAGTGGGGAAGGAAGAGGGTGGGCTAGGGGTTCTTCATTGTAACAGTGTCCCTGTTTAGACATTCTAAAATGTTTTCTTTGGAACGTACCTGTAGACACAATCATAATATCCATGCTTCTGTGCTGCAGTTTTATGAGTGCATGTTCACTCATCTTTTCCCTATTCCTTGCATGAAAGGTTCTATGAATTGGTGCTTTTATTTCCTCTACTCTGCTTCATCCATAAGGATTTGAAGTGCCTGAATCAGATTGGTGTGATTTTATGTACATAAGAATTAATTGACTTAATCAGCCTCTTACTCCAGAATAATTGGTACAGAATAACCAGTCCTCTGATTTAAAAAGTAGAATTCAGGAATGATGACCTATGACCGCTGTAGCCATGCACTTTAAAAAGAAAAATTAATCATTTTGTGTGATCTTTGATAGGCATCTTGTTTTTTTATGGAAGTATGAGTGTATGAATAAAGATAGGGGGCGTATGTACGTGTGTGTGAAGAACTATAAATTAGTGTTGCTGAATATGCCACACAGAAATTCAGCAAAATCAGTCTTGCAAATGCATGTGGCATACTATGGAAATAGTTTGTAAATTCAAGAGAACTTCAAGTAATAAAATTTTTTCACTTTTTAAAAAGATACTACACTCCTCTTCAGCCAGCATTTTATCCTTTTCCTTTCCATGAAATGATGACTGCATCTCCAAACATGGAGCTGATGGATGAAGAGCAAGCTCTACAGGAAGTTTTGGATCCAAACTGCGTTCAGGAACCTGTTCAAGGTATCTTAAAACTATCATTTTATCCACATTAATCTGAATTAATTGGATTATAAATACGGAAACAATGATTTATCTTGCTCATATCCTTGAAAGAGTTTATTTCTACGCAGGAATGTGTCCTTTAGAATTTCTGAAAACAACAGATTGGCTGCGTTCTTAAGCGTGGTGGTATAACTAATGTAAATATTGTCCCATTGCAAGTAATACTTGCTATGAAAGAGTCCATTTCTTTATTAGATAATATTTATGCAGTTCTTCTTATATTGTATGCAGTTTGATCAAGCAGCATTGTATAAGGAAATTATTTTCAAATGCTGTATGTTTTTTGCGGTATACAAGAATTACTGTTTGGATTTCCCCCCTAACTTACCCCATAATTGTGCCATCAGTGTGTATGATGCATTGATCTAAGATCATCTAGGTGGTCCTTCTTATTGAACTGCTTTTTTTTGCATGTTTTTCTGATTAAGTGTGTACAAATGGGGACCTGCAACAAAATGTTGTGGAGCATTTCAGCTTTCCCAAGGATGTCTGGACAGGCACGTCTGTTTCCACCTTTTCAGCAAGGGACACCTCTTTGGTCACTGAAATAACACTTATAGCAATGAACAACATTGACTGGATTGAATTAAATTGCAGATTAGTGGCTAGAGGGTGAATGTACTTTGCAGAAACAGTGGCTGGGAACAAATGCAAAAGCAAACTATGATTGGGGCTATATGAATGAGCCTAGAAGATGTTTTGGCTCCACAACGTCCCTGCCCACTTGCTTCTTCCCTTCTGTCTCCCTCACACGTTTATACTGCCATTTACACAAAGAACTCAGTGAAGCATACATTATATTCCATGCCCCATTTTATTATATAGGCAAAATTCAGTACTCTTGGGTTTGTGGTGAAGCACAGTTTGCTGGTTTATCTGGACTAGGGATGGTTTCCATTTTGGAATCCTAAATCACAGGGCAAATTGAAATCATAGTTCAAATTCAAACCAAACTATGGTTAGCTGTAAGTGTGGAAAGAACTCATGATAATGGATTATCTTGCTGTGTATGATGGAAAGAGGGAGTGTACAAGTCCAAGGATCCTTCAGGGTCATTCACATAGTGGGGAAAATATGGCTTGCCGTTATGACTGAACCAAACCAGTGCATGGAGCTGAAGTTGTATACATTGGATTTTTCAAGTTACTTTCTTTTATGTATTTTCTGTAGTATCACAACTGGGCTGACTGCTAGAAACTCATCTTCAAGCCTTTAAAAAAACTTAACTGGCATGAATTAGCAAGTGATCCATTTTGTGATGTGAGTCAGATGCAATAAAAAGCATTACCCTCACACAAGGTCAGTAACAGGATGGAAAAGCTTGAGGCCTCGAAAGCTGAGAATATTCTTTGGAAGGCAACGTTTAGCTGATAGCAGTCTGACATGTTTGAACATATTGTTGCATATCATTGCAAGCTAAAGTTTCACATTTTCAGTCTCACTCTTAAAAAGGCAGATTCAAATCCATCTAGATTGAGTCAGACCTGACAAAGGGAGTGTTGACTCTTGAGTGTTTATACTCTCAAAGTCTCTGAGGTGCTACTGGTCTCAAATCTAGCGTTCAGTTGCAGACCAACACGGCAACCCTCTCAGATGTTTAAAAAGGACATAATGAGCTTTGTGTCTTTTTCAGCTGCTACAAAAGGAAGGAAGAGAAAAAATAAATCTACTGAACCCAAAAAGCCTGCTGCTAAAGCTGCCAAATCAAAAGGCAAGCAAGAGAAAATCACAGACACTTTCAAAGTCAAAAGGAAAGTGGATCGTTTTAATGGGGTATCTGAAGCTGAATTGTTGACCAAAACACTGCCTGACATACTGACTTTCAATCTGGACATTGTAATTGTAAGTCACTTGTAAAAAGCTTTTGTTTCTCTCTCACCCCAGCCAGTTCAGTTAGCATATTGGTGATAAATTCTAGAGGGCAATCTGGGTTAAAGTACACAACAGTTGTTATTGCTTTTGATAAGACTTGTCAGGTTTATTATGGCACAAGCTTTGATGGACTAGAGCCACTT